TGAGTGTTATCCCAAGCAAAATGTTTGACATGGGAAACAAACCTGGTTAGACTTGGTTCTATAAAGCCAAGATCAATCCCCTTTGGCTCTTTTGTCACCTGACCACTGATTTGACAGTGCAGTACCGCCCCTTGCCAACAGAGGCACTCAAATGGAACCCTTGATAAAGCCACAGTGCCCTCTATTGGTGTTACAGTCAAGAGAGGGTTCCAAACACCATGTTTTTATACACTTTCATTAGAGACTTTGTTGTGGCTCCGTCTTGTGAGCCCCTTATCGGAGGAAGAAGGCTCCGAACATGAAGGAGAGGAGATGGCCAGGCCTTCCTCTCCAGGACCCTCCTCTCTGGCAATGCCTCAGGTGTCTCCCAACGGAGAAGAGATTGACCAGGAGCCAGGTGTTTCTGAGATTGGCCAGGAGCCAGGTGTTTCTGAGATTGGCCAGGAGCCAGGTGTTTCGGATAGTGATGAAGATATGTTGTGGCTGGATCCACGCCAGCGTAGGCGCGACAAGTGTGCACAGCAGAAAAGGAGGCGTGCCAGAGATTAAGCTGAGTCACTGGACCACACCCCACAGGCTATAAAAGGGAGGTGGTGGCCATTTGGACTCTTGTGACGGACAAAGCTAAATCTCTGTGTGTATTGTTTTTTGTTTCTGTGTTCTCTGAGTAAAAGTTCTTGGCAGGCAGCTACTGAGCTTATCTGTGGCGTGGAGTGTGGAGAAGTTATTTAACCCTCGGCTGGCTGTTTGGGTGTGTGTGTCAGACGGGGACAGAACAGACTTTTAACCAACACATTTCAACAATAATTTTATTTTCAGCCTCAGAGGTCTGAGTGCAGGCCAAAATAAACAAAACCGAAGGAAAAAAAGGAATCTATAAAGAGGCAGTAATGAAGCGGTCGCAGTTTAACCAACAATCTGATTTCTTTATTTGAAAAGGCACAGCTATTACATCTTGAATACAGAATTTGTCTTCAGTTCCTCTTAATATAGGGTCAAGTGATTAATAAACACACGGAGCCAACAAGATTTCTCTCTTTCTCTCTCTCTGTCTCTAAAGGAATATATACAAACACGAAAAAGTCTCTTTGTCGTAAAATTTATTTGGGGAATCGGAGGGGGAAAAAAAAAAGTCGAGAACTAGCATACGGAAAGATAGAATAGCTGCAAGGATCCTTGGGGTGTTTTTTTTTTTGTTTTAAGCAATTGGAAGGGGCATTTAGGAGCCCTTTCCCCTTCACACCGTTTTCCATCCCGCTCAAACCCCCCCCCCCCAAATTTCAAACCAACTGGCTGACTAATCCACCTTCAAAAAGGGAGTCCCAGCCATCGTCTCCTTTGAGACAGTTTCCAAATTCCAGCTTTTTTTTAACTCGAAAAGGGAGGGAAAGGAAACAGCAAGGCAAGGCTTAAAAACAACACACCATTGAGAGGTTCACCCAGAGGCAGAGATTACCCAACTAATATATTTATATATTTATATATATTTATATATATATATGTATATATATAAAATTTTTGCTTCTGTGCTACCTTAAAAACAAGAGACATGCATAATGACAAAGGTGCTTGCTTAGCTAAA